AGCGCTTACAATGTGCGCATCCGGTGTGCAGGCTGTGCCGCCAGGTTACTTCAAGCGCATCATTCTGCACACCGGATGCGCACATTGTAAGCGCTTCGTGCTCATAGACTGTATAAAAACAGTTCGTGCTGCACTGTATTTGTTTTGTCCTATCGTATCTATCATATGTTGTTGCCTTATTAAAAAATATGCAATACATTTAAAAGAAATTTATTTTAATTTTATAGTATATACTTGTATATAAATACATTCATGAATGTTTTTAATGAATGGATTTCATAATAATACAAATAGCAATGTGTAACATTTTACCATATTTAGTGCAACACTTTTATTTGTTCCCCACAAAATATAGTTTTTTCACTAAATGTTTGGATTTCTAAAATTATTGTGCACTGATTTTTCTAGAATAACTTTTGCTGCCGAATTATCCACTAACCTAGTTTATGATAAATTTTTGTCATAGATTATAAATATACATAGGCCTATATTTTTTCAGATTTATTGTTTATTTTATTTTTCTTTATAATGAAGTAGTCTGTATCTAGTAGATTGTGAAAGAATGATTATAATTTCCACACACAGAGACATATAAATTCTACATTTATTTAAATGAGGGAAAAAAACGTCACTAGTATCGTATCGGTATCGGCCAATACCGAACCCTAGGTATCGGAATCGGTATCGGAGGCGAAAAAGGCGGATCGGAGCATCCCTAATTTCTAAAGTAGAATCCTCTGTTATTTGTTGTGTATAACTGTTGTGGCTGGTTAGGACAAAAACTGTGATTAACATTTTATTGTGCATTTCGGCATCTAGTGTTGGGCTAATGAACTTGGCAGAATAATTGTTTATTTTGATTACTAATAATAAACATGAACTTTTAAACAGTAGTATCTTGTAACGTTCTGCAGTAGTATTTTTAACACATTTCTCTGCCTTGTGTTGTGACAGAGAAAATCAAGTAATGGCCTCTCGTGGCTTATAGCTTTATTTGAAACCAGTCAAACATGAGTGCTGAGCGCTAATAAAGATACTGAATATGCAAAATCTTCTGTGTGTAGTGTACTCAAACAGAAAGAATATACTGAGCAAAATTGTTTGACAGTCAGGCTTCAAACAGTCAACTCCGAGTTGATCAGATTTTCTCAAACATCCTTATCAAACGCAAATGAACAGAACAGATACCACAAACAAACCAAATCACAGGATCCTCACACAGATCAGCATTACAAAGGTCTTTCCTCTGAAGAATGAAAGCAGAGAGAATGTAGGCTAGAATACCTTTCTGAAGAATGTTCTGGAATTGGTTTTGTTTGAGCCAGGCCTGGACCTGTTCCTGCAGAGAAGGATCATCTCTCACAGCTGGATTTCCACCATCCACTTCATCCTTTAACAGCAAAACAACATAGCTTGAGACAAGTTCTGCTTTTCTTTCCTTTTTTGAGGAGTGCTAAAAATTGTATCTGTTATGATCACACCGAAGGCTCCAAAAGCAAAGATGAAAAAGATGAAGGAAAGCAACAGTTGCATACCAGGCAGCTTCAGATGGGGGAGGGACGTCAGAGAGAGACAGCGCTCTCTCTCTCTCTCACACACACACACACACACAGACATAAGCACACTACCATGAGTTTTACTGAGACTTCATCGGGAACATACGTGCACATCATTTTCATCATCATCCAGTATTACACATGGCATTACTCATCCATGTACACAATAGACACACCTCGTCACTGTACACACACTCAAGACTGGAAATTACATAATGGTAGTGTGCGAGGGATATTTAAGCCGAACTGCAGCTGAACTCCCAAAACCTCTGCCTGTTACACACACACAGCGAATAAACACAGGAAACACAGAGGCTACATATCACTTCCAATAAATATTACATCACGCATCTCTCTCTTTCTGTCACTTCCATCCAGTACGCTTCAGAGATCACGAGTCCTGACACACCACGTCTGACAGCACACCTGTAAACACACTCCCACACATAAACGCTCTCTACTCGCCTCGCCTCGCATTTATATTTTACGTTTTCCCCCTCAGGATTCAAGTTTATCTTGTGATCTTGGGTAAGTCAGTTTTTTGTTTGTGACAATAGCTGCTGAATGTATGTGAATGTATAAGAAAAAGAAAATTATTGTTACAAATTAATACATTATATATTAATTAATAATATCAATAAGTAATATGTTATATAATATATATAATAATTATTTATTATTAATAATTAAAACGGTCAGTAATTAAATATATTGTATTTATATATTTATATTTAATTTAATCTATTCTATATATTTATATTTATATTTTATTCAAAAATATCAATGAGTAATAGCATTTATTATAAAATTATTTATCATGGGTTTTTTCTCTTTGTGAGCAGTGGAGTAATTTATTTTTGCAAATTTTTATGTTCACATTAAATTAAGTGCGCATACGATCAACAAACTCCATCTTTTCACTGCAGAGGAAACAGAATCTGCATCTGAAGTGGCATTAGATGTATTTACACAGACTGTTTGATGAAGCTGAGGTGCCATAAATGCATTTACAACACAAAATTTCAAATGCATAAATAAGTTTATAAGATTAATGTTTTAAATATTTTTGAACATACAGGTTTTAAGGAGCGAGTTATTAGTCATTCATTCAAACGGCTGATTCATTCAGAAATGAGGCAAGTAAATACTGTCTTTATGAATGGGTTACTGAATCATTGACTCACTTGATTCATTCAAAAACGTGGATTCATTCAGTATCGAAACACCGCTGTGTTGCTCGAAGACACAAAAGAGTTCAGCTGTGGCTTTGATTGAAGCTTCGTCAGCGAACTTTGTGTCTGTTTAACACACAATGAAGAACTTCCACGCCGACGACATGTTTACATGCAGATGTGAGCGTAGTGTGGCGTCAAAACGGACCGGCTGTGTGATGAGGTGTGTTCGATTTGAAGCAGCAGTGCGCAGACCAATTGGACATCAAAGTACTGCGAGAGCGATTCGAAAGCATGCGGAGCCATCTGCTTTCTGTAGCTCTCGCGGTGCTTTGCAGTCATACAGCGATCGGTCTGCGCATTGCTGCTTCAAGTCGAAAGTAGTTCGCAGGTATGTTAACTAAGAAGTTGGGATATTTGTGTGTGTGTGTGTGTGTGTGTGTGTGTGTGAGAGTGTTTATGTATATGTAAACTGTTTTTGTGTGAAACTATTTGTGCTGCCATTTTGGCCAGGACTCCCTGGAAGAAGAGATTTTCTCTCTCAATGGGACTATCCTGGTAAAATAAAGGAAATTAAAAAATAAAAAAATACAAATTTCTCAAAGGTATTTAAGGAGTTTGTCTCATGCAAAACCAAATTTTCTTTTGCAATAAACAGTTAAAAGATCAGAGAGTACATGTCCATGAAGCCTGTTTGCATGTATTTTTAAAGGGGTCATATCATGCGATTTAAATTTTTCCTTTTTTCTTTGGAGTGTTACAAGCTCTTGGTGCATAAAGAAGATCTGTAAAGTTGCAAAGACTAAAGTCTCAAATCCAAAAGGATATTCTTTATAAAAGAATCGACGTTTCAGAAAGGCGGGGCATAGAGGAGAAAAAATAATGTGGAAAATAATGTGTTTGTTTTAACCTTAAACCGCATAAACACATTTCATTACACCAAATACACAAAATAATGTTCTTTTTAGCAACATCATATGACCCCTTTAAGCTTTGTCGGTTTTAAAGACCTCATTGGTCTTGTTGATTAGTTTCTTTGTTATTTTTTTCCAAAGCTGACTGTTTAACTTATTGTCAATAATTGCTTGAGAACCTTTAGATTTTATTTTACTATATTTAAGCCCATATAAAGTTTTAAATGGCATAAGAAAAGTTTTATTGATTTCAAGAGGTCTTAAATTTGTGGATAGAAAAATTGGAATAGTGATATGGCCTAATGTGATTATTAAACTTCAAAAAGCTTAAATGTGAGCACTGCACATTTCAAAGTAAAAACACTGCACTGTTGCACATCCTACAGGCTTGTGGTTTCAGAACAGTTTGCAAACAATGAACAGCCTACATTTATGCCAAGCCATTGCTTATGATCAACTATGTTCATATCATACCCGCAAAATTCTCGCCTTTTGGATATTTTCACTGTTCTAATAACACACAGCTGCTTTGTATATACTGTATTTCTGCTATTCCATAATCACCACCTACTGTCAGAGAGGGAATTTGAATTTTCAATCATACATTTTAAATAAATATAAATATACTAAGGTATCATTTTGACTCGTACCTTTTCTTTAAAATGTTTAAATGCTGAAATGAGGTTTATAATTTCTAAACTCTTAGTTTTTGTCAAATTCTGCATTATTTGAACTCTAAAGTTTCATTTTTACAGTATATGGTATTAATATGGTATTAATAACAAATGGTGTTAATTTAATTTGTGCACTTAAACTCTGCGGACCTGGACACGGGTCCAAAATCACGTACAAAATGTTTATGCTTCATTTGCAAAACCTTCCTTATATGGTACAATTTTACTCCCTTCGGTTATAATTCAATAACTCCTGTTTAGAAGCTGTTATTTGAAAGATTCTTTTTTCTGGTACATCTTGGCACCTAGTGGAATCAAACAATATAAGTTGCAGGGAGCTGGAGCAAATAGAACCTGAATAACAGACTTTAAAAAAAAAATTCTGAAAATAAATCAAAAAGCGCCTGTCTTTTTCGTGTTTATTGCAATATTTAAAACATATATAATTATGAAGAATTACAATCATATTTTGTAGTTCAAAGGGTTTTCTATACAATGACACAATTTTTTTTCATTTCCTCCATTGTATGTGTGTAGGGTAAACATTTGAAATTGGGTATGTCAAATTTAGGCGAAAATACACAAAAACGTCCCAGAGCTTAAGTGTTAAGAAGTGCTTAAACCTTAAAGTTGATTTTAACAACCCTTGTGTAGTTAGGCAATTATTAGTTTTTGCTGTCATCTGAATTGGTTTCGAGAATTGTGAAATTTCAATGTTATCTAAAATGTTAATATTCTAACAACCTTATTTCCAGCAAAAATAACTATATGTGACCCTAAACCACAAAACCAGTTATTAAAGTTAAATTGAGCTTTATACAACATCTGAAAGCCAAATAAACAAGCTTTCCATGGATGTATTGTTTGTTAGGATAGGACAATATTTGGCCGAGATACAGCTATTTGAAAATCTGGAATCTGAGGGTGCAAA